CTATTGTCTGTGTGAGAGGAAATGGGCTTTTTAGTCACTATTTTGCATGAATGAATAGCTGAGCAGCAGATAACCCCCCGTCCTTTCCGTGTGGCATGAGTACGAGAAGCTCTGGCCCTCAGTTTACCCGCCAGGTGTGTGTCCTTGGAGGTGAAGCTGGGTCCTTGGTCTGTTCTCTGGGTGGGCTCTGTGCTTGGCACAGGGACCTGCAGCAGCCAACTGCCCACCATGCCCTCCGTGGCACCTCGCCTGCACCAAGCCCTGTATTCGACGGAGAAATAAAATCAGTTGTCTCCATACTCTTGCTAATGCAGCGAGAATCTTCGCTTATCGAAGCGAGAGCTGGCCAGCAGCTGGAGGTGGTTTAACGGAAGGGTTTGCGTCGCCAGTCGGCACGGTCAGAAGGAACCGGTGCTTTATCAGGCCTGGGCACGCCAGGCCTCGGGCGTTGCGCCACGCGGGACGGAGTGGGCCGCGTGTGGGACCCTGATAGTGGTTACATGGCGGCTCCTTCCTTCTGCGGGACCCGGGCTTGACCTGTCTGTCTGACCCAGTTGCAGACGGGAGAACGTCCTAGATTCTGTGTGTTTGCGTCTGAAGTTCATGGGGTTAATGACCTCAGATTTTTCTGGGATGCATTTCTAGTGCCTTAAAAAGCCCCTGTCCCCCGCAAGTTGTCCTCAAAACCCATAGAAGAATCTGTTTAGATTCTTCCAAACAGACTAGAAGCAAATTTAAGGAGAGTCAGGTAGAACTTAGCGACCATCGCCACTCGCTCCACTTCCTGGCTGGGATGTGGGGGTCTCTGAGAATAAGACGGTATCTCACTCACAGTCTTATAAATATAGTTTTATTGCTATCAGAGAGGAAGGGAGAGGGAGAGATAGAAACATCAAGGATGAGAGAGAATCAGTGATCGGCTGCCTCCTGCACACCTCACACTGGGGATCCAGCCTGCAGTGCAGGCATGTGCCCTGCCCGGGAATGGAGCCCTGACCGCCTGGTTCATCGCGGACACCATTCTTGCTCACTACGAGTATCACTCCGTGTTGCTGCCTCTATAAGTTCAATTTCCAACTTTATAAAGCATTTTGGTGGTGATGTGATTTGGCTACAGAGTAGGCCTACACTGTGGTAGCTTTTCCATCTGAAACCTTATTACTCCACCCCGGCTGGCGTGGCTCGGTGGTCAGAGCACCAGCCCACACACTGAAGGGTCGTGGGTTCGATTCCCAGGCAAGGGCACGTGTCTGGTTGCAGGATCCCTTCCTGCCCTGGGTCGGAGTGCAGGCAGGAGGCAACCAGTGAACGTATCTCTCTCTCTCTCTCTCTCTCTCTCTCTCTCTCGCTCTCTGTGTGTCTCTTGCTCTCTAAGTGAAGGGAAGGACATTCCCCTCCCCGTCTTTACTTCCCTTCCACGCTCTCTAAAAAGCAGTGGAAAAAATACCCTCAGGTGAGCATTTACAATAGATAAATAAATAAATAAAACCTGACTGCCCCCCTAGAGCAGATGCGCTCCAGGTGGCATCGTAGGTAAACGTTCGCCACAGATACCTGCTGAGTAAATGATGCTTCGAGGTGAAAGGGGGTGACCCTGCCCACATTTCCTGTCGCCCTCCTGTCCGCTCTGAAGGTGGGCTCCAAGCCCAGAGTCAGCCAGCGCCTGCGACTCCACGCCCCGCCTCCCGATCGCCGGCCGCCCATCTCTCTGTCACTGATTCTAGCTCTGTCTCCTCCTTTCCTTTTCTACCAGGAAACGAGGCGCAGAAGCCCTGGACGGAATGGTACCCGATCACGCTGGTGGCCGCCCTGTGCCTCGCCTTTGTCTCCTCCCTGGCCTGCAGGACGTAGGTCTCCTCCGCGCTGGGTGCACCTTGGGCTGAGGTTGCCTGTTCACCCTCCGGTGGAATCCGCTGGGGCTCTTGTTGGGGGGGTGGTTGGGGGGGAGGGTATGGCACGTCCGTGTCATCGGGACCTCCCCTTCCGAGATGAGAGTGAAGCCGATCAGAGGCTGAGAAACACCAGCAGGTGACGCGCAGACGGGGCCACGGCACAGTGTGGCCTGCAGCCTTGACACCCCCCCACCCTCCTTTTAAATATCTTTTTATTGACTTCAGGGAGGAAGGGGGAGGGAGAGAGAGAAACGTCAATGATGAGAGAGAGTCATTGATCGGCTGCCTCCTGCATGCCTCCCACTGAGAATGGAGACCCCCGTCGATGGCCTGACCAGAATTCGAACCGTGATCCCCTGGTTCATAGGTCGATGCTCAACCACTGGCCAGGCGCCATTCTGTGTCTCTCGGGTGATGCGGACGCCGCCAGCGGCCTGCAGCCCCCGGGGTCTCCCACCATTACGGCCCCGTCGATGTTGGGGGTCTTGGCCAATGCAGATTTGAAGACACTGAACAGCAGGCCCTGCAGTCGGGAGGTCGGTGTGTAGCGCGACACTGCAGGGCCTCATCCCCCCTCGCTCTCTTCTCAGATGTCACGTGTGGACCAAGCTGTTTCCTCCAGTCCCAGGACCCAAAAGCCACGTTCAAGACTTCGCTGCCACGGTGAACTACGAGGTACGTCCAAGGTCCTTCCGCTGTGTGCCCCTGCCAGGGTCGGCCCCCAGGGTTCCCACACGTAAGGCGGGTCTTCCCAGGAGCCCGGGCCCTGGGCTGCAGGCGTCCCGCTTGGGCCGACGGCTTTGCTATGAACGTTCCTTCCCCGGCTCAGTCCTGCGTCCCTCACGGCCACGCTGGGATCCGCGTTGCCATCAGCCGTCTCTGACGGCCGTGGCCAGGCCTGCAGCCCCACGCGCTGCCTTTCGCGGCTGTGGAGGAAGAGGCGTGGAGGGCCCCGTGCCCGCTCAGCTCTAACACCACGGACCCGGGATTCTGCCGGGGTGTCCTCACGGGTCTGGTTTCTCGGAGGACCTTTTCCCGGTCCCTCGGCATAAACAGCCAGAGGGAAGGCGACTGATTTCTCCCGAGCGACGTGTTCTAGGTCCAGTCACCACTCAGGGTGCAGCTGGGCCACCGCGCACGGCCGCGGCTCGCTGATGGTTCCAGCATCCCTTGGGGGGGGGGGGAGCACTTCCCCCAGGGAATCATCTTGACGCCTTTGTTGAAAAGTAGTTGTTCAGCCCCAGCCAGTGTTGCTCAGTAGTTGGAGCACCAGCCCGTGCACCAAAGGGTTGCAGGTTCCATTCTTGGTCAAGGACGTGCCCCTGGGTTGCAGAGAGAGAGAGAGAGAGAGAGAGAGAGAGAGCAGGTAGAATTGGGAAAAGCCAGTACCACCTCTTGCTGTCTGCCCTGCAGCCCGGCTCTGCCCCTGGGCGGCCGTGGGAGCCAGTGGACAGCTGAGCACAGCTGGGCCACAGCTGGAAGTGCCTCAGCCTCTATCTCGAAAGGCAAAACCTGCCCGACCACTTTTGGGGCCTCGGCTGCCAGGACCGCAGGGGGAAGCACTGGGCTGGTGGGGAGGACGCCTCTGCCTGTACGGCTAGGCCCTGAGCGTGGCTGGCCCCAGGCCTCCCTGAGCCCCTTCTGCTTGTTCAGACCGAGTTAGAAACTGTAACATCAACGGGCAGGCACTTGGTCGGGGGAGAAAGGGGGTGAAAGAGGGAGGAGTTGGCCTTTGTCGTAAAACAGTCTTACTCTGCCCTGGCTGACCTGGTGCTCGGCTGGGACAGCATGGGCCCAGTACACTAGGTTGTGGGTTCGACCTGAGTCAGGGCACACACAGCAGCAGTCAGTGAATACCTAAAAGCCCTGGCTGGTCTTTCCCAGTGGATAGCGCGTTGGCCTACGGACCTTCCTCCCAGGTTCCATTCCCGGTCAGGGCACACGCCCGGGTTGTAGGCTCCATCCCCAGTAGGGGGCATGCAGGAGGCAGCCGATCGATGGTACCCTCTCATCATTGATGTTTCTAGCTCTCTCTCCCTCTCCGTTCCTCTCTGAAATCAATAAAATAAATACATAAGATAAAAAATATGGATACCTTCACTTAAAAAAACGAATGCATAAATAAGTGGAACAAGTCAATGTTTCTCCAAAATCAAGTTAAACCATCTTATTCTGAGCTTTCAGTTGGTTAGAGACGGTTCCCAGCCATCATTCGTTTCTGTGGTAGGAACAGAGGGTTCCCTCCGAAATCCAGGGACCGTGGACGATGGAAGGTGCGTGAGGCAGAGACCACGTCTGTGGCGGGTCACACACACCTGTGCCCGGCAGCGTTAGGCTGAATATGGCCTCTCAGGGGCCGTGTCATTTTTTATCGCAGATTTCCTAACTGGTATCAGTGTTACTTAAAATCACCAAAATGGGACGTAGCAAATGTGTCCTTGGGCAGGATACGATGGAGCTATTAAAAATGATGCAGCTAAAAAAAATAAAAAAAAAGAAAAAAGGGGTGCGGCCACGGCACACACCATAGAATGCAAGCGCCGTGGGGTGCTACCTGGGAAGGAGTCCGTTTGAGAAGCTGCTTCTGCTCTGACCTCCTAACTGCACAGATGAGTTTCCCGCAGGAAAGGGTGCTGAGGGCCCGGGGCTGTGTTTGGGGAGCGGGGGGCTGGGGGGTCTATCCGGGTATTGTTTTCTCTTCTTTCTACTTGATTTGCCACATTGTCTTCCCTGAACAGTTACTGTTTTTAGAAGCAAAACAGACTTGTGCCCCCCGCGCCACGAGGCTGGAAGGAGAGCTGAGAGGGGGTTTGTCTTGCAGAAATCTGGGTCGCGAGAGACAGAGAGCGAGGTCATCAGCTACGTGGAGGAGCCCGGGCTGGAGGTCCTGGAGGACTTGGTGTTCTGACGGGCGTGGGCCACCGGCAGCGAGGACTGCCTCCCGCTCAGAGGCACGGAGCTCCCCACACCGGCTGTCACTGCGGCCGGGCGGGCGGGTGCCGGGGGATGCGCCCTTCTCTGCGAGTCCACACAGCGCTGACCCCGAGGACAGAGACGCTATGGACCCGCTCCCTGCACAGAGCTGGACGCGGCGGCACAGGGCAGAGCCGAGGCCACGCGCTGTCTGGGGAGGAAGGCATCGTCGTCGTCAGACTGCGACAGGAAGCGCAGGGGCCACGGGGCCTGGCCATCGGCTCTTTCTGCAGACGTCGCGGCTCAGCGGTGACGCGCATGGCTGAGAGGAGCTGGGCTTTGGGAGAAAGTTCACGATTTTTTGTTCGTTTTTAAAAACTATGTTTTTACTGATTTTAGTGAGGAAGGGAGAGGGAGAGAGAGAAACATCCATGATGAGAGAGAAGCATGGATCGGCTGCCTCCTGCACGCCCCACACTGGGGCTCCAGCCCACAGCCCGGGCATGTGCCCTGACCGGGAATTGAACCCTGACTCATAGGTTGATGCTCACCCACTGAGCCACACGGCCGGGCAGAAAAAGGCATGTTTTGAGTGGCCACTGGCCTGTCATGGCCGGAGAGAGTGGACATTCACTGAACAGTAAATGCCCCCGTTGGCAAGTTGATTAGACACTGGCCCAGCCTCCCACCAGGACAGGTGGGCTGCACTCCCCCAGCCCAGAGCCTGGGTCACGGACCAGAACACACGGGGCTCCTCCTTCACGCCCCCCACTGAGGGCTGAGACCTGCCCCCCATCTCTCTCTCTCTCTCTCTCTCTCTCTCTCTCGCTGTTGGGATTCTCTGGTGCCTTGTGGAGGTGCGGGTGGGAGGTTCAGTTTGCCAACAGCTTGCCCATCACCCATCGTCCATCTGAGCCTCCTTGAAAAGCCTGGGGCCCTGGCTGTTTGCACAGGGGGGAGGGGAAGGGGGGGGGGAGGAAAGGGGGGAGGGGGAGGTGTGGTGGAGAAGCCCAGCTCACAGAGAACTCTGATTAAAAACCCAAACTTTTTCACAGCAAGAGACTCGTATGTGTCAGGACCATCTGCTGGTGGAATTAATAAACCGTAGGTGCTAATTGGCCAGGAAAACCAGCTCCCTGCCCGGGAGTGTGAACAGAACCAAGCACTCCTGACGGTGGGCGCGTGAGACCTAATTAGATTGGGGCCTGGCCTGTGCCTGGAGCCTTGGTGACAGCGACACAGCGACGGAGCAGCTACTCCTGGTCCCCAAACTGCACGCCAAGTTCCCGGCCACTGACTTCCTGAAAACCAGCCTGTTTCTGAGAATGTGCTATTGAACTTAAAGACGGTCTTGTCCCCCCCCACACCCCGCCTGGCGTGTTAGGAATAGACACGCGTGTACACGCGGCGCAGAACGAGAAATGTCAACATGAATGACGGCGGGTCATCTGAGCCGGCGAGCTGAACGGAGGTGTCTCCCGTCCCTCCGCGGCCCCCCGGCCCCCACGACCGCTCCATCTCCCCAGGACCCTGCAGCGGCTCACTGAGCTCTTCCCACCCACTTCCTTCCTGAAGGATCTGTGCCGTCTGTGGTGTCACCCCGTCCACAGCCCTTCACGACCCGTCACCTTCCCAACCAAGTCCCCTGTGACCAGCTGGTTGGGGCCCCGCAACCCACCCCTCCTCCCCTGGACAGCTGAGCGGCCTCTCTCGTGGGCCGCCCTCTGCCCTCCGCCCTCCGCCCTCGAGCCTCCGCCCGCACCTTCCTGGAAAAGCCTTCCAAGCTCTCCTCTTGCTGACATTTTATCTACAGACCCGGCCCTTTGCCCCAGGAGGCTCCCTCTGCCTCCCGTCCCTTTGGTTGGCGTCGAGGGTGGATTCTGACACTTACCCTGCTGCCCCGCACCCTCCTCGCTCACGGGAACAGGAACACCAGCATCCAGGACGGAGTCCTGTGGCCCCCGTGGCTTTGACCCCGGGAAGGACCAGCCGAGCTTCTCGGGAAACGCGGGGAGGCGCTGCGTGAACGGACAGAAGCGCCCCCAGGTCTCGCTGATCTGCACTAACGACAGCGGCGCCCAACGCACCCGCATGGCCATCACCTGCTGCGCCAGCGCCCGACCTTGCGGCGGCGTGGCCTGAGCTCCTCACGCTGCTTCTGTCCTTTGGTGGCTGCACGTTCTCTGGGAGGAAGGACAGGGGACACCTGGGAAGAGGTGACTCGGGGCTGGACGTTCTTCCCCGCCCGATGTAAACACCCGACAATGCCGGGCAGGAGAAGCCATCACCTGCCGGAGATCAGTGCCCATGGCAGTTCCCACGTCTGGGCTGGGAGAGCCCCGAGCTCACCTGGGACCGAGTCTGGGCTGGGGGAGCCCCGAGCTCACCTGGAACGAGACGTGTCACCGCGTCATCTGCTCCCGCAGGAGGAGCCGGGTGTCCGGAGGCTGTGCGGGCTCCGTAAGGCGGGACATGCAGAGGATCCCGTCATCTGGCAAAACAGAACTTCCTCGGACACGTTAATTACACGGGATCTCACACCAAACCAGGGGCTCGGGGGAAGCCCTCGGAAAGGCTAACTAGCCCGCCGGCGTGGCTCAGGGGTTGAGCATTGAGCTTTGAACCAGGAAGTCACCGTTTGATTCCAGTCGGGGCACGTGCACCGGTTGCTGGGTCAATCCTGAGTGTGGGGCGTGCAGGAGGCAGCCGGTCAATGATTCTCTCTCATCATTGATGCTTCTCTCTCTCCCTCTCAGAAATTAATGAAAATATATATTTTAAGAAAAAAGAGAAAAGGCTAACTAAGCAAAGCCGTTTCCCTGGCCCCCTCCGCGCCACTGGCCATGATCCCAAGTGATAGGACCCCCATACCCCGGGCGTGTTAACGGGGCCTCGGGCCTGGGACGTCCCCTCGGACAGCCAGGCCCAGAAAGTGTGCCGCTCAGAAAGTGTGCCGCAGCACCCCTTCTCCCATCTTCCTGAAGCGTCATCGCAATTTTCCTTGAGCAGATGGCCCTCCCGGTGCAGGCCTGGCGTGACCCAGGGCCTCCAGCCGGGGGACACCAAGTGACTGAGCAGTCTCTCCCAGAAATGCGGGCATCGAGCAGAGTGGCGTCGATATTGGAAAAAGAGCACGGCCGGCGTGGCTCCGTGGCTGAGCACTGACCCATGAACCAGGAGGTCATGGTTTGAGTCCCGGTCAGGGCACATGCCCAGGTTGTGGACTCCGGCCCCAGTAAGGGGCGTGCAGGAGGCTGCTGATTGGTGATTCTCTCTCATCATTGATGTTTCTCCCCTTTCCTCTCTGAAATCAATAAAATGTTAAAAAAATAAACTGGAAAAAGAGCTGATTTATCCCCACACAGGACCCCAACGACTTTCCTACGTCCCTGTGGCCTGAGTCCTTGGGGGCCTGGCCGTATTCTCACCAGGATGGCTACTCAGCACGTCCCTGGCTCCCGTGACCTAACTGCGTCCTCCTCCGTGCTCCCGGCGTTGGCCAGGGCTGCTTCTGTGGCTTGTCACCAGGGAACCCAGCCGGCGGCCGTGTGAGCTGCCAGGCAGACCCGATGGTGCGGGCGCCTCAGAGGCAGCTCCTAGCGCATCTTCGGCCCAGTCAGGCTCCACGAACCTGGGCCCCAACTCGTCATACCCTGGAGCTGAGAGATGGAAGGACTTTCAAGGCCCAACGTTAGATGCCGGGCCTTCTAGCGCTTTCCGCCACCTCTTGTGGGGGTGGTGATGGTCTTCCCGGGGGGGGGGCGGGGGGGTGCACCGGGCCGGGCAACTGAGGCAAAATGCTACTTCAAGAGCCCTTGGATCGATTCATCAAGGATTGTTTATTGCAAGGCACGGTGCTAGGCACGGTGGGGGTACATGGAAGAGAGCCAGCGCCCTGCCCCCGAGGAGCTCACAATCTGGGTGGGAGACAAAGGTACAGACAAGGACAGCTGGGCGACATACAGGAGGTCAGAGACAACCAGGCACAGTAACAGTTTCCCCGGGCGACCCGGTGCCGGTCCACCCGAGCGGGACCCGCCACGGCTTGAAGCTCATTCATCTCAAAGGACCGACGCGTGTGGGAGGCTGCACCACCCGCCCGGGACCCTCGGGACCCGGGGGAGGGGGGCCTGGGCATCTGGGGGAGAAGGGGGAGCGGGAAGGTTATTGCAGGAAGGGGCAGCCGTGTGACCCAAAGGCACCGAGGTGAGACCGGAGCAAGGGCGGGGGTGTGGCCAGGGTCCATGGTGGACAGGTTAGAAGATTTAAAAGGGCCTTAGATGCTCATATTTGGAGTTTATACTTTTTAACAAAACGGCAGGTCTCCGGGGATGAGCGATATGCCAGGCGTCGCTAACGGAGAGGACGGATTCGAGTTGGACCTTCGGGACGTTTATCTGAGGTTTTGACCCTCTACACCTGCACACGGGGCATGGACTGGTGTCTGCAGGGCTGTCACGTCCAAAGGGACAGCTTGGGGGCCGCTAGCGGTGGATCCTGCCGGAGACGGCGGAGCCCCTCTGTGACCTCAGTATGGCCGCCAGGGCGAGCTCACAGCTCCCGTCCGCAGGCAGGAAGAAGGCTCCCGAAGACAAGCATCTTTACAAACGACAGAATATTTATTAACAATAGCGTTAGAAAAAGAGTACATTTGCTGCTGGGTCACTGGGAAGTACCATCGACATGGGGGTGGGAACTACCTGGGTGGCTTCTTTTTTTTCATTCATTTTATTATTTTGTTGTTTTTTTTGTGTGTGTGTATATGTGTGTGATTTTAAATTTTGTTTTATTTAGAACAGAGAAGTAACCATATCCAACTAAGGAAGGAACACAGCTTGAAACACTGAACAATATTTTCCCTGTTGCCACCCTAGTTTTTACACAAGTGGAATCCTGATTATGACTATTGGATCAGTAGAGCGAGAAGGTTGAAAAGTCAACGTACGTTCTCCATCAGGCAAAGACGGGCAGGTGGCAGGCAAACCTGAGCTCTCTGAGGAAGGAGAGGTGGCAGCCTGCGTACATGGGAAAGTGTGTGTAGGAAATGTCACTGCCTTTTAGATGCACTGGTCCACCAGATTCAGTTACAAAACCTCCCCCGTTATAACAAATAGGCCTTCCATCGGAATGTGGTTTTGTTGCTACTGCCATTTCCCGACGTGTGACTGTAAGACGTGGAAGGTAAAGCGTAGAAAGCAACTAGGCTACGGGCTGCACACCAGGAGCTCCTGAGAGCTCCACACCGTCCCACCCCCCACCTTTTACGGAGTCTTAGGAAAGAGCCGCCGCAGCAGCTGTTCGCTGAAAGGGAAGTCTGCCCGATCCAGACACAGCTCTGACTTTAAAGACAGACATATTCTATATAAGAAATTCCGGAAAGAATGGTGAATCTGTGACCAGAGAGCTACCCTTGTTTAAAAAAATGTACATTCAAACAGATACAGTGAAAGATAGTAAACATATCTCTTAGCCTCTGAAAGATGGGGCTGCTATGGTAACTTTTGGTCTGAGTTACTACAGGAGATGCGACTTCAAATGCAACGTCTAAGGTAAGGCTGCTACAGAGACGATGCTAACAAGGTGAGTGGGGAGAGTCTTGGGGTCCATGCTAAGTTCAGGGTGAGTATTGCACATGGGACCTCTCGGGGAAGGAGTTCAGGTGTTGGAATTGCAGCCGTTCCCGAAACCATCTCAAGGAAATGCACCCCAGGCGGAAGGACCTACTGTACATGTCCAAGGCCCCATCCAGCCTGCTCGCCATGGAGGGGGCCCCTACGGCGCAGCCCGGAGCCACCCACCGGCCTCCGGCGCCGGCCCCGCCGTCCTTGTCAAACTGCACGTCATTTGCAATAGACTGACCGAGGTGGGGTTCACACTCTGTCTTTTAAAGAAAACATTTTCAACCAATAGTTGCATGAGTGTGGCGCCCATCGCATTTTATAGCCGAGGAAAAAAAATTAATATCTACATTTCATGTTAACTTTAAAAAATTCTATAAAACACTAAATATATAATAAAAAATATGCATATAAGGACATATGTAAACTGCTTTGGTAACATCGTATTACAGATGTCTTCAGTGCACTGCGGAGTTTCCGGAGAAACTGCGGACAAAGCGAGACTTGCTTTGCGGAAGTTCTGTGTGGAATGCCATTCCTACAGAAGCAAAGAACATTTTTCTTTCCAGTAATAAGATGTACTCGAACAACAAGGTTACTTAGTACTGGGTGTCTTCAGGACAACGCGCTCAGGTTGCTCAGGTCACAGACAGCGAGTCCTGCGGGGGCGGTCGTCATAAGCTGGACCGGGCCGTGAGCGAGAGCATGAGGGTGCTGAGCGCCGACAGCGTGCAGGCGTTGGAGGTGGAGGGCCCCGCGCCCCCGCCCCGGGCGTAGGCATCTGCGGAGAGAGAACGCGGTCACTGAACAGCACCGCCCGGACTGCCACGGGGAGCGAGGCCACGTGGCTCCAGACACCGGAGAACTGCTGATTCTACTGCAAAGGACCCGGCCTGGTGACTTTAACATCAGCTCGGTGACTGTCTTTTGCATGAAACTGCCTGAGGCCAGCAGACCTCAGTGGTCAGGGCAGGGGAGGGTGTTTTTGCCACATGTCTTTCTTCGGGGCTGACTCCGCTGAGGCCCCGCCCCCCTGTGCAGGCCTGGGGAGCAGGCAGGTGGGGAGCAGGCAGGCTTGGGGGAGCAGGCAGGTGGGGAGCAGACAGGCTTTGGGGAGCAGGCAGGTGGAGAGCAGGCAGGTGGGGAGCAGACAGGCTTTGGGGAGCAGGCAGGTGGAGAGCAGGCAGGTGGGGAGCAGACAGGCTTTGGGGAGCAGGCAGGTGGAGAGCAGGCAGGTGGGGAGCAGACAGGCTTTGGGGAGCAGGCAGGTGGAGAGCAGGCAGGTGGGGAGCAGACAGGCTTTGGGGAGCAGGCAGGTGGAGAGCAGGCAGGTGGGGAGCAGGCATGTGGGGAGCAGGCAGGCCCGGGGAGCAGGCTGGGGAGCAGGGGAACGCGTGCTCACTTGTCATCTTTGGGATGCGGATCTGCTGGCTGGCGCTGCCGTCCCCCCCGTCGCTGACGGGCCTGATTTCTATGATGTAATCTTCACCCAGAGGCAAGGAGAGCTCCACCGACGTCTGGTTTGTTTCGATGACAGACGTGCGGCTCTGTCGGCTCCATCGGTACAAGACCTGCTGACGCAGAAGAACAGGCGTCACCTGCTGCCTCCCGGGGCCCGCCCGGCGACGATGAGCGTCGTTTCCTTGCTGGCACCAGGGATGTGCTGGGACACATCTGGGAGGCGCATGTGCAGACGGGGCCCCTCTGCCGCTACCCTGTCCTTGTGGGGAGAGTTTAAAGGAGGCCGCGGGGGGCAGGGGAGGGGGAGTGTGAGGCTCCCGGCGTGCTATGTAGCCTCCTGTCACCTCCGGAAGGCCCCATGGACACACCTGGAAACGTGATTTCCTCTGAGGATGTCCAGGGCTCGCTCACACCCGGGGACTTTAGCATCAAAACAGACTTGGCTGCTGTGTGACCATGACCCACTGACTTGACCTCTCTGAGCCTGTTCCCTCCTCTGTGAAATGGGACAATACTAGCCAGAGGGTTTTCAGCTGGAGCCACTTGTCTCCAGTCACACAGTGTAATTCAGAGTCTTTGGCTGAAAGCATTGAACCCCAACTATTAATTCTGATGTGTGTGTGTAACATACGAATGTAAGTGCACGTGCCGATAGAGTCAAGGCCATCTTGGTTTACAAGGAGTGAGGAAGCGTGTGTGAGAATGCAGGGCGGGGCAAATGTGGGTTTACAGTTGTGAGCCCAAGACACGAAACACAGTCTATCTTGTATTATTATTTATTAACGATGGCGATATTTTCTGTACTAACAAGGACAGACTGCACTGGGGGCCTGGCTCACAGGACTGTGTAAGCAGCACCCAGGGAGGCTGGGAGGGAGCAGGTGTGGGGATGTACTTGGCAGAGGTTAAAGCAGGGGCGGGCGGGATGTGATTAGTGCTGTGAGTCCTGGGGAGACGGGGCACGTCAGCACCTGGACAGGGTCTCTGAAAGGCCAGGCCACCCCCCTTTCCTCCATGGGACCCCTTTATGAGCTACAGAGAAGGAGAGGTGTCAGGGGGCAGTCATTGTCCCTCCGGAAGTGTCTGTAGCTTGCAACCACCCCTCATGTGTCTGGCTCTCCTTCTTGTCCCCTCCTCCCCTGTGAGTGAATCTGAGCTGGTGGCTCATCTGATGAGCCAGCGGCAGGGATGACCGGGGACCTGCGTGGAGGCCTGGGGACCCAGCTCCCTGAGAACCCCACCTGCCTGGCGCGCTGCCTGCTTGGCCCAGTTGCCACGGACTCTTTACCAAACTCAGACCAAACCACAGGGGGCAGAGGTTCCTAGAGTCCGGGAGAGCGTGTCAGGGATGTGGTCAGGGACGTGGCTCCCCCGGCCCCGCTGCCTCGTGGGACGAGACCGTCCCCACTCGCCACCCACCTTGTAGCCTCTCACGTCCGACTCGTTCTCCAGCGCCTTCACCTGGTCCCAGTTCAGGACGATTTTGGAGTCGGATGAATTCCACACCACGTTCCCGGGGGCTTGGCTGGGCGCTAGGAAGAGAGGAAGGTAGACGCGGTCAGACTGCTCGGCCCCAGTGGATGCTGAGGGTTCGCGAGCAGAGGCATTTAATGGGCTGCTGCACTAACATGTGTCTTCAAGGTCCCTAAACGACACACAGCAACACAAATGGAAAAAGATGCAGTTGGGCCCTGGCCGGTGTGGCTCAGTGGCCAGAGCATTAGCCTGGGCACTGCAGGGTCCCGGATTCCCTTCCAGTCAAGAGCACATGCCTGGGTTGCGGGCTCGATCCCCAGTAGGGGGCGTGCAAGAGGCAGCCGATTCATGATTCTCTCTCATCATTGATGTTTCTCTCTCTCTCCCTCTCTGAAATCAATACAAACTATTTCAAAAATAATAAGGGAGGAGGATAGGAAGCCTATACAAAAGAAAAAGGAAAAAGATTCAGTTGGTCGCCTAACATTTAGAGCTAAACGCAGCGGCCTTCCCAGCGAGTGGAGAAGCACGCCTCTCCCACCCTCCGAGTTCTGCTCGGTGTCCGAAGGCTCCCACAATGCTCAGGGGGTCTGACCCACGCAGTGACGCCATGGGCATGCGGACGATCACTGGAGGCGGGCTGGGGGTGGGCGTGGGTGCCTCTGAGGAATCCCTAGGGCATTCTGAGCGTACGGGGCTTTCTGGTGGTCACGTTGACGGTGGCGCTGGAGGGGCCGGTCCCGGCCGTATTGTAAGCCTTGACCGCTAAGTGGTACAGCGCGCTGCCTTGCAGGTTGGTGATTTTCGTGGAGGTCTGATTTCCGAAGGTTCGTATTTTCCTAGCATTTTCCTCCTTGTCATCATGCCTCCAGTATTTAACCTGAGGAGATAAAAAAGGGGGACCTTGGAAATCACCGATGGGGGCTATTTCCATGGTCCTCTGGTTATATACAATCAGGTGACAATTATATTTTATAATTAACTCCTTCATAAGAATATATCTATTTTATCCGCACCCCAGGATATGTTTATTGATTTAGCAGGGGTGGGGAAGGTCCGGCCTGCGGGCCGTATAAGGCCCGTGAAATCATTTGGTCGGGCCCTGCCAAGGTGTTAGTGGTGAGTTAATGACATGTTTGACCACGCTGAGAGCACGCTAAGTTTTCAGTTGATAGTTTTGTGTGGCCCACGAATGATGTGATAAATGTCCAAATGGCCCTTGGCAGGAAAAAGGTTCCCCATGTCTGAAGAGAGAAGTGGGGGGTGGGGCGGGGGAGACGGGGGACATCATTGTGGGAGAGAAACATCCTGCATCTGCCCCGCCTGGGCTTTGAACCTGCGACCTTTTGGTGTGTGGACGACGCTCCAACCAACTGCGCCTCCGGCCAGGGCCCCGGGCACTGTGTTTTGTGACACAGGTTCCTGTGACGGAGCGGGTTTTCTCTAAGGACCCAGCGCTCTGTGCCTGGAGACTCCCCGCGGCAGGACGGGGGGGGGGGCCCCTTTGCTCCTAAGCTCGCGGTGAGACGGCGAATTGGAACAACCACGTTGGCCCCTTCTCCCTTTTCCTCTCCCTTTGCCTTGAGCCCCAGTGACCCCAGGGACATCGGAGGTCCCAGCTCATCTGTCGGAGCATCGGGCAGATGCCCGGGCCTGCGTGTGCCTGAGACACACCTCGGAGTGCTCCCGGGAGCCGCGGTCTCGCGAGGAGCGTCCTCCCCTCCATCCCCCCATGAGTGCTCCGTGAGAAGCCAGGCCCAGGACGAAGGCCTCTGCGTGGGAGTGGGCCTGGGGGATCGCTGGAAGGGGGGGTCTCTTTCCCAGACCCAAGTCCCCGTCCCTGCTGACCTCGTAGCCCTGTATCCGTCCCCGGTTCCTCTCCGGGGGGGAGGCCCAGACCACCTCAACGTCCGTGGCGGAGAGGCTCCTGGCAGAGATGCTGGCGGGCGGCCGGGTGGGCTCTGCAAGGAGATGGGAAGAGGTGTTGCCCATCAGCTGCATGGGGACCGGCTTCCAGACACGCGTGGGCGGACAGGGTGCCAGGAAGCCGTGGCTGCAGAGCCCTGGGGAGGAGGAGTGGGAGGGGCGGGGAGAGAAGGTGCTGGACAGCCAGCCCATTTTTCACGTTACACTTCCCTCAAATCAGGACGGGCCTTCACTGAAGGGCAGTGCCCGACGGGTTGCGTGTCCCCCATCAGCCCCCCGCATTGAGACGGGCCGTCCGGGCCACGCAGCCGTACCTTCCTCTGCCGAGTACACCACTGTGATGGGGCTGAAGGGGCCCTCCCCTTTGTTGTTGTAGACGCCCACCCGGACCTCGAAGGGGGAGAAGGGGCGCACGCTCTCGTTCCGGAACACGTATCTGCAGGCGTCGGCCGAGGCCAGCACGGTCAGCATCCAGATGACGGTGCCGTGGGGCCGGAAGGCCACCACGTAGCCGAAGCCCCGGCCGTTCTGCAGCTCCTCCGGCACCGTCTGGGGGTGGTTGCAAAAATTCAAGTCTTCCTCTTTTCAGCACAGGTGCTGAAAAGACAAAAAATAATTTCAGTGGGTATTTATAATCCATTAGCTCCTCCGGCACCGTCTGGGGGGGCGGGGAGGGGGCGTCACAGGGATCCCCGCCAGATGCTGAAGTTCCCTGCCTGCCGCACCCGCCCAGCCCTCCCGCCTGTGTTCTTCCCGCCGGACTGACTGTGGGCTCCGTCGAGGGTCTGAAATCGAGGCCTGCGGCCAGTCTGCCTGAGGAACTCCTGAGGACGGAGCAGGGCAAAGCGCTCGACAAAAATCTGCCGCACAGCCCGGCCGCGCGGCTCAGGGGTTGAGCATCGACCCATGATCCAGGTCACGGTGGTTCGATTCCCGGTCAGGGCACCGGCCGGGGTTGTGGGCTCCGTCCCCAGCGTGGGGCGTACAGGAGGCAGCCGATCAGTGATTCTCCTCATCATGGATGTTTCTGTCTCTCTCTCCCTCTCCCTGCCTCTCCCAAATCAAGAAAAATATATTATTTTTTAAAAATGTAATGCAACAGCTGATGGGCCAGCGCCTTGTCCCGCCGGCCGGGAGCTACGAGAGGGAGGTTTGCACACGGTGGGCTTTGGCCGTTGAGCAGCGGAGGCACCTTCCAGCGAGGCGTCCGCGGAGGAGAGAATAGCCGGCCGGACCACCGCCTGCCCCTCCGCGTGGCACTCACCTCCCAGGTGATCACCAGCTCCGACTTGCTGCCTCCACCGCCACTGACGTTGGCTGGGGTGACTTCGGGGACTGTGCGGGGACAAGGCACAGGTCACGTCAGGGGGCAAAGGGCAAATCCCTGCCAACAAGCACTCGGGGCCCCGCCTGTCTCCTGAGGTCAGAGGCCCTGTGCCCAGGGGCCCAACCATCACCCGAGGAAGCGAGACGCACAAGGAAGCTGCTGCCCATCAGGTGCAGGCGCGTGTGACAGGCTCCCCCGCCGGCCCCTCCCCGAGCCCGGGGCTGAGGGGGATGGGGAAGGCCTGAGGGCTGGTTCAAGGCGTGGGGGGCGTTTATTAACCTTGGGGAGGCACACATGGCGGCGGGGGGGAGATGGAGGGTGTATCCGGGGGTCTGCAGAGGGCTGCTGGGGCAGGTCGGGTGGGCGAGCTCTCGAGGAGGGTGAGCGTGGGCTGGGTGGAGGGAAGTGTGGGCAGAGGCGCCCCGGCTCCCGTGCTTCGCCTCTTTGAGCCCCGTTTTCTCTGTGAAAGAGGGGGATGATGCGAGCCTCCTCGGGACAGGGGAGGGCTGGCTGCAGTCACACCGAGGGGAGGCACGGATTGGCTGTTGTCCTCAGGCAAACGAGAGACACGGACAGGGTGTGGGGGTGTCTGGCTGGCGTGTAGCTGGCGACTGGGACTTGTTTATAGTCGATGACACCCATCGAATGGACTTTGTCCAAGTGTGGGGTCCCAGTTCCCCTTTGTTTAAGGTCCCTGTGATCCCTTCAACAGCGGGGGGTTGCTCATCTCAGTGGGGACCCCCACAGATCAGGCCCTGTGTGTGAGGGAAGTTAAGGTACAAGTGACCCAGACGAGTACACGTCCCTCCCTCCCTGTGGTCACGGAAGCTGCAGACATGAGGTGTGTGTGTGGGGGGGCGGGGCAGGCGAAACTGCCGACTGGGTCCTGGGTGCCCCGACCCCAGCTCCTGGGGTGGCTTAAGCCCTAAGGAAATGGGACTGGGCTTCTGTGAACAACTCCCTCTTTGCTGCTGGTGATGTCTGAGTTGATTCACTTGCAGCGTGGGATGTGCCTTAAAAAGACAGCTCCTGGCCCGGCAGGCGTGGCTCAGTGGGCAAACGTGGACCTATGAACCAGGAGGTGAGGGTTCAATTCCCGGTCAGGGCACAGGCCTGGGTTGTGGGTTCAGTCCCCAGTGTGGGGTGTGCAGCAGGCAGCCGATCAGTGATTCTCTCTCATTGTTGATGTCTCTCTCTCTCTCTCTCTCTCTCTCTCTCCCCTCTTCTTCCTCTCTAAGTCAATAAAGATATATTAAGAAAAAGAAGACAGCACCCGGCAGGGGGTGTTGGTGACAGAGGCTGATGAGGAAGAGCTGGCGTCAGGGGCTCAGCACAGCGTCCGCACGGGGACCTGGTGAGGGGACTGAGCTCCTGGTGGGAGCCCGCTGACCGTCCTGACCGTGGGGGAGGGTGAGGGGACTGAGCTCCTGGTGGGAGCCCGCTGACCGTCCTGACCGTGGGGGAGGGTGAGGGGACTGAGCTCCTGGTGGGAGCCCGCTGACCGTCCTGACCGTGGGGGAGGGTGAGGGGACTGAGCTCCTGGTGGGAGCCCGCTGACCGTCCTGACCGTGGGGGAGGGTGAGGGGACTGAGCTCCTGGTGGGAGCCCGCTGACCGTCCTGACCGTGGGGGAGGGTGAGGGGACTGAGCTCCTGGTGGGAGCCCGCTGACCGTCCTGACCGTGGGGGAGGGTGAGGGGACTGAGCTCCTGGTGGGAGCCCGCTGACCGTCCTGACCGTGGGGGAGGGTGAGGGGACTGAGCTCCTGGTGGGAGCCCGCTGACCGTCCTGACCGTGGGGGAGGGTGAGGGGACTGAGCTCCTGGTGGGAGCCCGCTGACCGTCCTGACCGTGGGGGAGGGTGAGGGGACTGAGCTCCTGGTGGGAGCCCGCTGACCGTCCTGACCGTGGGGGAGGGTGAGGGGACTGAGCTCCTGGTGGGAGCCCGCTGACCGTCCTGACCGTGGGGGAGGGTGAGGGGACTGAGCTCCTGGTGGGAGCCCGCTGACCGTCCTGACCGTGGGGGAGGGTGAGGGGACTGAGCTCCTGGTGGGAGCCCGCTGACCGTCCTGACCGTGGGGGAGGGTGAGGGGACTGAGCTCCTGGTGGGAGCCCGCTGACCGTCCTGACCGTGGGGGAGGGTGAGGGGACTGAGCTCCTGGTGGGAGCCCGCTGACCGTCCTGACCGTGGGGGAGGGTGAGGGGACTCAGCTCCTGGTGGGAGCCCGCTGACCGTCCTGACCGTGGGGGAGGGTGAGGAGGACTCAGCTCCTGGTTGGAGCCCGCTGTGGGCAGCTGGGCAGCAGGGCTGCCGGCTGAGGTCTGACTGCAGGGGAGGGTGCGCTCAGAGGGTCCGAGGGCTGGTGC